ACAGCCTGCTGAATTTCAGGATTCCAGGGCTTAAGTTGCATAATGTAGGAACCTTTTTAAAAAAAAAAAAAAAATTGAGTGCTATGTCAGCTAGTCATTTTATACAAATTATGCTTTTATTTCCATCCCACGCCATTCATGATGAGAGATTCCAATGCAGTGGACAATTTAGAGCATGAATTATTTAAAAATCTAATAGAGAACAGTGAAACCAGTATGCAACAGCCATAAAAGAAAAGAAAAGAAGCAATAATAAAATTCAATTATGCAAGGCTAGAGCATAACCTGGTGAGGAGAGTTCACATTTAGGACATTACAGCTTATACAAGGAGGGTTAAGACGAAGGGGTATAAAATTATACATGGTGTAGGGAGAAAACTTCTTATCCATTTTTTTTTCTTTTCCATTTCCCACCACAAAATATTCTGATCCCTGGCCGGCCAAAGGCTACCCGTCTCTGGAGTAGGGTAGCAGTAGAAGATCTGAAGATACAATCTAAACCTAGGTTTTCACATACTATGAAGCTGTGGTTTGTTTAACAATGGTCTTTGGGATAAACCACCATTGGCTAGGTTCACAAAGGATGCTACTTCAGAGCTGAACCAACCTGTCAAGCTTCATGAGATCTTTGGATCCTGTCAGTGGTTTTACTCCTGGTAGTCATCATCATCTTAGCAGCTTTGCTCTTTCTTCCATGTTGACCGTGTGATCCGTGTGCTTAATTCTTAGCAAAGGAGGTTTTCAGTCTTAAAGGTGCATTCAGTACATTTCAGCCTCCAGATTATAGTATTTAGTTTGTAGACGTTGGAGGAGGAGAACTGTGCTAATCTTTGGTAGCCAAAAATCAGAAGGAATTTAGTAGCACCTTTTCCAACTAACACCTTTTTTTTTTAACAAGGCATAAGCTTATGCCTTTTAATAAAACTTATTAGTTGGAAAAGGTGCCACCAGACTCCTTGCAGTATTTAATTTAGCGTATTGTTATTCTTTACCTTGAAATTTTCATCCTGGGGGGATGTTCCCTGGCACAATTGAATGGGGAGTGAAATTTAACAAGTCAGCACACAAAAGAGAATGTGAAGTGTGTGTGTGTGTATGTGTGGGAGGGGAGTTGAACAAGGGAAGAATCATAGGGTCTAGGGGGATGTTATGCCATATTTTTTCTAACATATATATCTATTGGCTACTTTAGAAAATCTGGAGGATGGCAACGAACATGAAAACACAGATTTTTCAGTAGAATTGACTCAGACAAATGCTGAATTGCACTACAGGTAACTAATCAATTAAGAGGTTATTAAAAAAAATCAGCAAACCATTGGATTGGATGGGCAGTCTGATCTTCATGGGCATTTCTGCTGGTGCTTGCAAGAATCCCAGCTTCCCCTCAATGTATTTTGCTCCACATTAAGTTTTAAAAGGAGAAGCTTTTTTTGCCTGTTAAGAGAGAGGTGTGCGGGTGGGGGGGGGGGGAGTTGGTGTGCTGCTTAGCCTCCAGTATCGTTGCAAGAATGTTTCAGTAACCCAATAAATAAACAATGGGTGATGCTAATAAAATAGTAGGTGGATGCAACCCAGTGCTTTTTTTTTTTTTGGAAGCATGCCCCAAAGGCACAAAACTCTGGGGGAGTTG